CCTGTTTCCATGTGGATTGGACTGCAATGATCATACTGTGTATAGGAGCAGAGCTGGGATAGGCTGGAGAGTAGTAGCTGGGCTACAGGTGGTAGCAGGAGCTGACTTTTGGTGTGGGCTACTCGGTGTAGCAATTTTGTTAGTTTTAGATACTGACTTGTTGAGCCCCAGGCTAGACATGTGTATATATATTTACTCCTTTATATGCATACTCTACTTCTGTGTGGTGTTGTTCTATAGCGTGACAGTCAGGAGGGTCGTTACACTTTTATGGTATCAGAGCAGTTTGAGTCTAGTGAACTGATGTTGTGTATTTTACTCGTATTTTAGCACTTTAATTCACAAGAATTCATAGCATAATCATGCATATCTTTCATGTTTTTAATAAACTTTTATATCATTTTCCTATTTTATGCTTTTCTTGGTATGTGTTGTGTTTTCTCTGAGCAGGATCAAGATTTAAGAATTAAAGAGGAAATGCTGAGCTACAAGGAAAATCACGGCCGTGATTCTAAATCACGCCCGTGATTCACCAGAGAAAATCACGGCCGTGACTCCCAATCACACCCGTGAACGCCACTGACCCTTCATAGATGTGCTCCAGAGAAGATCACGGTCGTGATTCTCAGTCACGGCCGTGATTCACTTCGCGTCCCAGCTTTTTAAGTTTTATGTTTTATTTTTATTTTTGTAATTTTTATCTTGGTAGTTTTACCTTTTTACCCTTTTAGGTTATAAATTAGATGAGGTTAGCCTAGAACCCAATATTGGGCTCATTTTCATTCTTGTAATTTTTCCTTTCCATTGTATTTGTTTGACCATTGTATTTAGGTCATTAGATTAGGAATATACAAGAATTACTTAAATAGGTAAAATAGGTTAAACTAGGTTTAATTTGGAAGTCATTTAAGTTACATTTGAGTCACATGTTTAGCACCATGGGTGGCTGAACATGTGCCACTCAAATTAACCCTAAATAACTCTCAAATCAAACCTAAATGCATCTAGGCACCTAAATTTTCGGACTAGCACATGGGAGCCAAAATTTGAATTCAAATTTCAAGTTTGAATTCAAATTTTGGGCGCCACATGTAGCCTTGGATTTAGGCGCCCAAAGTTGCACACTTGGAACCCTACTTAAGTGATTCTTCCACTCTTTGTATTCACTTTTGAGAATAATGAAATTTGAGAGCTTATTCAGCCAAATTTCGTTCAAGAGTCACCATGAGAGAAAGCTTCACCTTAGGAACCCTTCTAGGATTTCCTCCTCTTTGAAGTGAGCTTTCCCTTGCACCTTAAGCTTGGATGCTTCCATCCAAGGCTTAAGCCTTCTTCCTATCCGAGAATCTCCTCCATATAGTGTTCATCTTTGTGGTTTCCATCTCCTTGAAGAAGATCCGTGCATAAGGAGAGCTAAGGAGAAGAACATTCATCACTCCTCCTTACCATTTCCATCAATAAGTGTAGAGGTAATCGATTATGTAGATTGGTAATCGAATAACTTAGTGAAAATGCATAAGGATTTCCACATACCAGCAATGGTAATCGATTATCTCGATAGCTAATTGATTAACACAATAAGATTAAGTGTGTAATCTAAAAACAAAGTGTTAAATGTGATTTCTTATGAGTGAATGAACATGTATCATGGTTGTATACTTTTATCAAACAATTGTTTCATGTATAAATATACTCTAACAGATATAAGTATTGGGATATGTAACTTAGGTAAGATTTGACTCACTAATGATGCCAAGATTGGTTCTTAGCATGTAAAATCTTTACTTTGGTAAGAGCTTCGTGAAAATATCAGCTAATTGATTCTCTGAATCTATAAATTGAATATCACAATCTCCTTTCTCTACATGATCTCATATTAAATAATGACAAACTTCAATGTGTTTTGTTCTTGAGTGTTAGATGGGATTTCTTGTAATGTTGATTGCACTAGTGTTGTCACACTTGAGTGGAATTTGATCAAGCTTTAAACCAAAGTCTTGAAGTTGATGCTTGAGCCAAATTGATTGAGCATAACAACTTCCAGCCACTATGTATTTAGCTTCTGGTATAGAAAGTGCTACATATGTTTGTTTCTTTCTATGCCAAGATACAAGGCATTCTCCAAATACATGAAATGTTCTACTTGTGCTTTTCTTGTCTAATTTGCAACCTACAAAATTAGAGTTAGAAAATCCAATCAAGGAAGGGGTTGTGCCTTTAGGATACCATAATCCGACATTGAGAGTTCCCTTGAGGTATTTTAGAATTTTCTTCACAACCTTCATGTTTGATTCCTTAGGAGTAGATTGATATCTTGCACATACACAAATGCTAAACATGATATCTGGCCTACATGCTATGAGATGTAAAAGAGATCTGATAATTCCTCTATACTTTGTGTCTTCAACTTCTTTTCCTGTATCATCATTATCTAAGTAGCAATTAGTAGAGATAGGTAAATTTGATATCTTACAATTCTCCATTTTGAATTTCTTTAACAACTCCTTGCTATATTTAGTTTGACATAAGAATGTTCCTTTCTTCATTTGTTTGACTTGCAATCCTAAGAAAAACTGAGTTCTCCCATAATTGACATATCAAACTCACCCTCCATGTTTGAAACAAATTCTTCACGTAGAGAGGGGTTAGTTGATCATAGATAATATCATCAACATACACTTGAACCAACAAAATACCATTAAAGGCTCTTTTTATGAAAAGAGTTTTGTCAACATTGCCTCTTTGAAAGTTATGAGTCAAGAGAAACTTACTTAGCCTTTCATACCATTGCCTAGGGGCTTGCTTAAGTCCACACAAAGCTTTCTTAAGCTTGTACACATGATTGGGCAATTTAAAATCAACAAAACCAGGAGGTTGTGAAACTAAAGTTAGATGAAAACACATAGAAGGGGGGTTGAATATGTATGTGTGTGAACAAAGGAATTTTAAAAACGTTTTCACAAGGAAGCTCTTTTTCGTCCAGTAAAAATATTAATTTGAATGCTTAATAGAAATTATGCAGCATTGGTTTAACAAAAGATTTTTGCGTTTGAGAGTTTATCGTCTACACAGGAAAATGCTTATTAACCAAAAACTATTCTTTAAGATAATAAATTAAACAAGTGTGGTTTTCATCTGAAGATATTTATAATAAACAATAAGCATTGGACAAAGTTTTCAGTGTGATAAATCAACCAAAAGAAATTGCGTTTGGAACATAGAAAAGTAGTGCAAAGATTTTTGTATTGGTTCACTCAAACTGAGCTACGTCCAATCTCCTTCAATTGAAGGGTTCCACTACATATTCAATGAAGTTTAGTGTTATTTTTTAGCCTCTTCAGGCTCACAGTGAGTATTTTCAACCACTCCTAGTCCTGAGTATTCTCAACCACTCCTAGTTGGCTAACTTCACTCATTAGCTCTAATATTCTTTAATCAGCCTCTTCAGGCTCAAAGTGAGTATTCTCGACCACTCCTGGTTGCGAGTATTCTCAACCACTCCTGGTTGGTTAATAGCACTAGTATTCTTTGTTTACCCTCTTCAGGCTCTTAGTGAGTATTCTCAACCACTCCTGGTCCCATGTATTTCTCAACTACTCCTGGTTGGCTAACTTCACTCATTAGCTCTAGTATTCTTTATTAAGCCTCTTCAAGCTCTCAGTGAGTATCTCGACCACTCCTTGTCCCAAGTATTATCAACCACTCCTAGTTAGCTATTAGTACTATTATTCTTTGTTCAGCCTCTTCAACCTCTCAGTGAGGATTTTCGACCACTTTTGGCTAGCTAACTTCACTCATTAGTGCTAGTATTATTTATTCAGCCACTTCTAGATCGCAGTGAGTATTCATTGACAAGCCTCTCCTGGCTTTTACAAGTATTCTTTCTAAGTCATGGATGAACAACTATCTACACCATTAGAGAACTCCGCCCCAACGGACATATTCAAATCAAAACAACAGGCATAATTCTAATGAGGCTATAAATATCAAGTTTTGAGAAATGAAGAAGTAGAAGAGAAGCACAAGAAAGAGCTAGAAAAAAACTTCTTACATCTATTTTCTATAAAACATTGAAAATTTGTGATAGTGAGTGTAGAAACTAGCCTAACCTTTTTGTGAGAGTTATACACACACTCAAAAAACATATCCCTGAAAAACTAAGGTTGTGTATCTTAGTAGAGTGTAGAAACAAACCTATCCTCTTTGTGGGAGTAAAACACGCACTCAAAACAATCGCCTGTTGTTAAGCCTGAAGAGGCTACTTTAAAGAATACTTAGAGAACCATAATTGATTTAAGAATACTAGCGTTAACAAGTAAAGTTGACGAGCCAAAAGTGGTTGAGAATACTTGGAGAACCATAAGTGGTTTAAGAATACTAGCATTAACAAGTGTAGTTGACGAGCCAAAAATTGTTGAGAATACTTGTAATCATTTGTGATTAGTGAAACCCTTCAGTCGAAGGAGACTGGACGTAGCTCAGATCGAGTGAACCAGTATAAAACTTTGTGCATTGCTATTTGATTTACAAACGCAGTTTTACATACATCTACATATTACACTGCAAAATTTATCTTTCACTACTTGCATTTCAGAACGACATTTAAAGAAAAAGTTATATTCACTTGACTCAAGAAATTATTTTCGAACAGACGATAAATTGTTAGATGCAAAGTTATCCTTAATCAACTTTTGTGAGTTCTTCAAAAGTGCTTAAAATTTTACTATCAGGAAAAAAGAAACCTTTTTGTGAAAACGTTTTTACAATCCTTCGTTTTAGCAAGACCAGTTAGGTCACAAGAGAGTCAGGATTTAGTTGAGTTCCGCAAGTGCCATCCTCCACAATTCAAGGGTGATGCAGACCTAGAGGTAGCTGACCACTGGATCTGTGAGATAGTGAAAATATTTACAGTGCTAGGATGTTCTTAGGAAAGGAGGTTGGCTTTTGTAATTTATATGTTGGTTGGGGAAGCTAAGTATTGGTGGAGGGGCACTCACAAGATGTTAGTTACCAGAGGAGTGGTGGTTGATTGGGAGTGCTTCAAGAGGGTGTTTCTCGAGAAGTATTTCCTAGAGAGTGTGAGACATGCCAAGGAGGTAGAGTTTATGAGGTTGCACTAGGGGAGTTTGAAGGTGTCTGATTATGCGATGAGATTTGAGCACTTGGCTCATTTTTATTTGTAGGCTATTTCTGAGGCTTGGAAGTGTAGAAAATGTGTTGAAGGTTTGAAGCAGGAGTTGAAGAGGGTGGTGGTGCCTATGGCCATCACTGAGTTTCCGGTCTTAGTTGAAAAGGCGAAAGTTGTTGAGCAATTGGAAGGTGGCATCCGGGTGGTGAAGAATGTTGAGGGACCAGCTGGGTCCAAGAAAGGTGGGGGTCAGAGGAAGCCTTATAATAGGCCCCAATCACAACAAGGGGGTCCTGTCACAAGGAAACTTACTAACACAGCTAGAGGTGGGAATCAGAGTGGAGGTGTCACTCTCAGATGTTATAGATGTGGTGGACCCCACTTCATTCAGGATTGCCATCATACTGAGAGTAGGTGTTTCAGGTGTGGCCAAATAGGTCACGAGTCGACCAGTTGTCCTGCCAGAGCCAGACAGACTAGGGGTGCTTCGAGAGGTGATAGACCTACTACAGCTGGGAGGGTGTTCGCCTTGACCGGGGCTGAAGCTTCCACTTCATCTGATCTAGTGAAGGGGAAGGGTAAAGCTACTGGTAAGGATGTGATGATTTTGTTTGATTTCAGGAGCCTCCCATTCTTTTATTTCCTATGCATGTGCTGAAATGTTGGGTTTGTCTGTATTTAGGGTTGAGACTACTTGTGTCGACGCCCGCTTCTGCTTCTGTTGTTGCTTCTGAGATGTGTGTTGGTTGTCCTTTAGAGGTGGGTGAAAGGAAATATAAGGTAAACTTGATTTGTTTGCCTTTAGTAGATATTGACATAATATTAGGGATGGTTTGGTTGTCTGCCAATCACATCCTTATAGATTGTGCCAATAGGGAGTTGGTTTTTCCTCAAGTGGAGGATGAGTTGTTGATTTCAGCTAGTTAAGCTGAAATGTTGATGAAAGATAGAGCAGAGTGTTGTATTCTGCTTGCTGCCATGAGTGTGGAGACCAAGAGGGTTATTGCTGATATAGAAGTTGTAAAGGAATTTACAGAGGTGTTTCCGGACGAGGTGTTTGGGTTACCTCCTACTAGGGAGATGAAGTTCAGTATTGATTTGGTTCCTAGTGCGAGGCTAGTGTCAGTTGCTCCCTTTAGGATGGCCCCAACAAAGTTGGTTGAACTGAAGAGACAATTGGAAGAGTTGCTAGAGAAGTAGTTGGTGAGGCCGAGTGTATCTCCATAGGGTGCTCCCGTGTTATTGGTGAAGAAAAAGGATGGAGGTAGTCGACTGTCTGTTGATTATCAACAGTTGAATAAATTGACCATTATGAACAAATATTCACTTCCCTGGATAGATGACTTGATGGATCAATTGAAGGGAGCATCGATATTTTCAAAGATTGACTTAAGGTCAGGATATCACCAGATCAGGGTGAATGAGGGTGACATACTTAAGGCTGCTTTCAAGACTAGGTATGGTCACTATGAGTATGTTGTGATGCCGTTTGGTGTGACCAATGCCCCGACAATGTTCATGGATTACATGAACAAAATCTTCTGGCCTTTCTTGGATAAATTTATGGTGGTGTTTATTGATGATATCCTTATTTATTCAAGAACCCCGAAAGAACATGGAGAACACTTGAGGTTGGTGTTGGAAATTTTGAAGGAGAAACAGTTGTATGCTAAGTTGTCAAAGTGTGAGTTTTGGTTGGAAGAGGTGAAGTTCTTAGGCCATGTTATTTCAGCAGAGGGGATTGTAGTTGATCCGGCTAAGGGGGAGTCGGTGTTGCAGTGAGAGCGTCCAAGAACTGTCACGGACATTCAGAGCTTTGTGGGTCTAGCGGGTTACTATAGGAGTTCATTGAAGGATTCTCCAAAATAGTAATGTCTCTAACCCAGTTGATTAGAAAGGATCAACCTTTCATTTAGATAAATGCATGTGAGCGGAGTTTTGAAGAATTGAAGAAGAGGTTGACTACTTCTCTTGTGTTGGTGTTGCCTGATTCTAGTGAGTCTTTTGAAGTGTATTGTGATGTCTCTCACCAGGGATTGGGGTGTATGTTGATGGAGAACAGGAGAGTGGTGGCATATGCTTCAAGGCAACTAAAGAACCATGAGAAGAATTATCCTACTCATGACTTGGATTTGGTAGCAATTGTTTTTTCCTTGAAGATTTGGAGGCATTATCTTTATGGTGCTAGGTTCAATGTCTTTAGTGACCACAAGAGTTTAAAGTACTTGTTTGATCAGAAGGAACTGAACATGAGACAGAGATGATGGATGGAATTTTTGAAGGATTATGACTTTCGGTTGATGTATCACCCAGGGAAGGCCAATGTAGTGGCGAATGCTCTTAGTAGGAAATCCATCCACATGTCGGGTTTAATGGTGAAAGAGTTGGAGCTGGTGGAGGAATTCATGGATTTGAATCTCTGCATGGAGTTAGCTCATGATCACATTAGTTGTGGAATGACTACCATAACTAGTGAGTTCTTGAAGCAAGTTAGGTTGAAACAGTTGCAAGATCCAGAGTTGATGAAAATTTTTGGGCTGTTGGGAACCGAGAAGGCAGATGGTTTTGAGTTAGGTGGAGACGGAATTTTGAGGTTTAAGGGCAGAATTTGCCTACCTCGTGATTCTGAGTTGAAAAAAGTTGTTTTGGAGGAAGGCCACAAGAGTAGACTTAGCATACATCTTGGTATGACTAAGATGTACCAAGACCTCAAGAAGACTTTCTAGTGGTCTGGTATGAAGAGAGACATTGCTAAATATGTGGCAGCCTGTCTGACTTGTTAGAAGGCAAAGGTGGAGCACCAGAAGCCAAGTGGTTTGTTACAAATGATGGAGATTCCAGAGTGGAAGTAAGATAGTATCACTATGGATTTCATTGTGGGATTACCTAGGTCGACTAGGAATAGTGATGCTATTTGGGTGATTGTTGACAGATTGAGGAAGTGTGCACATTTCTTACCTGTCAATATCAAGTGGTCCTTGGAGAAGTTGACGCAGTTGTATGTGAGGGAAATAGTACGATTACACGGAGTGCTTTCCAGTATTATTTCAGACAGAGATCCGAGGTTCAAAGTCTACACCAAGCCTTAGGCACGAAGTTGAGGATGAGTTTTGCTTATCATCCACAGATGGATGGTCAGTCAGAGAGGACAATTCAGTCCTCAGAGGATTTGTTGAGGGCTTATGTGTTAGACCACTTGGGGAGTTGGGAGAAAGTCTTACCACTGGTGGAGTTCACGTACAACAATAGCTTTCATGCTAGTATCGGGATGGCACCGTTTGAATCCCTATATGGTAGGAGGTGTAGGACTCCTTTGTGTTGGTATCAAGATGGTGAATCAGTGGTTGTGGGGTCGGAGTTAATCTTACAAACTACTGAGAAAGTAAAGTTGATTTAGGAGAGAATGAAGACTGCTCAGAGTAGGAAGAAATCATATGCTGATAAAAGGCGAAAGCCTTTGGAGTTTGCTGAAGAGGAACATGTGTTTCTGAAGGTGACCCCAACCTCTGGTGTGGGAAGGGCGTTAAGGGCTAAGAAGTTAACACCTAGGTTTGTTGGCCCCTATCAGATCATCCATCGTGTAGGTCCGGTCGCATATCAGTTGGCTTTGCCACCGTTTCTTTCCAACCTACACAATGTGTTTCATGTTTCCCAATTGAGGAAGTATGTCCATGACCCAAGTCATGTAGTTGAGTTGGATGAAGTTCAGGTAAAGGAGAACCTGACTTATGAGAAGACGCCTGTAGCTGTAATTGATTGCAAGTTGAAGGAGTTGAGAGACAAGTCTATTGGCTTAGTGAAGGTTCTATGGGATGTAGCTACTAGTGAGGCTACTTGAGAAGTTGAGCAGTAGTGTAGAGAGCAATATCCTTCCTTATTCCCAAGTAAGTCTATTTTTGGGGACGAAAATTCTTGTTGTTGGGGAAAATGGTGATTTTGATGCGTTTGATGGTTGCATGTTGAAATAGAGCTTGTTTTTGAGTTGTATGATGTAAATGTAGTTCATTTCATGGATTACATGTGTTTGAGCTGGCTGATTTGCAGGTTTTTGTTTGAAATTTTTGAAGTTGTGAGGGTTGTTGTTTGAAATTGCGTCTGGCGTGTGTTCATTAGGGAACTCCATTGTCCAAGCACGCTGGGCGCTAGGTTGGTTGCGCCGGGCGAGGTTGGGAATGGAAGTCTCTAGAGGAATCACGCCGGGCGTGGGGAGAACCGCGCTGGGCGTGATATAAGATAGTGGCTCAAAATTTTGAGTTACTGACATAGTGCCGGGTGTGATTCGATCTCCCCAAGCGTCGAGACTCCGTGGGGGTCTCTGTCTGGGGTGGCGCCGGGCACAGAATGAGCGCGTCGGGCGTGAGACCTTGATGAGGTCTCTGCCTTATTTGCGCCGAGCACGAGTTTGGTACGCTGGGCTCGGGAGACTCCTAGAAGTCTCTGCCTCCTATTGCCTCAGGCGTAATAATGATATGCTGGGCGTCTAAGAGCTTTAGAGCTCTCGGGTTGGGTTCAGGCCGGGCGCGAGATTAATTACGCCGGGCGTGGAAGTGTTTTACTCTATGACTAAGAAAATGTTGATTATGCTGTTACAGATGTTAAGTTGAGCTATGTTGTATGTTGATTATGCTGTTAAAGATGTTAAGTTGAGTTGTGTTGTATGTTGATTATGCTGTTAAAGATGTTAAGTTGAGCTGTGTTGTACGTTGATTATGCTTCTAAAGATGTTAAGTTGAGATGTGCTTTATGTTGATTATGTTGTTAAAGATGTTAAGTTGAGCTGTGTTGTAAGCTGATTAAGCTGTGATGATGAGCTGTTGATCACTACGACTAGAGGAGATGTTTTCGAATTTTCTCATCCCATTGTGAGGATTGAGAAGCTATGGTGCTCAAAGAGCCTAATTTGTTGAAAACCCTCCTTGGGAAGTTGTCCCTTAGAGTGGACATTGTGCTATTCTCCTCTAGTACTTAGTTGGTCCCGTGTGTGGGCAAGGTCGAGGCACACGTTTACAAAGCGACCACGATATAGGGGCCAGGTCGAGCTATATCGATTACAAGCGGCCAATTTGAGTAAAGTACGAAGTCGGGAACTTAGTTCCTAACCGAGTATCGGAGGGTTGTAGTATTTGAATAGTCGGTAGGCTAATCCCATAGATGGCTTAGTTGAGCTAGCTAATGTCGCGGTAGGCCTAAACCCAATTGTTCTATCCTGACATAGTACTATTCTTCCTTGTTTAAGTGGCAAAGTCTGAGAAATCGTTATCGTGTTGTGGATTGACATCCAAATTTTTTGTTTACCTAGCAAGCCCAAAAAGGTTCTTTGTTGTCAGTTCGGTAGGACCTAGCCACTTAAACTGCTCACCCATGTTGTAGGAGATCTCCAAGTTGAAATACGTGACGACGCATAAGCTGTTGTTGTGTTGATTTGATGTTGATATGAGTTGTATATGTGCAGTGTATTGTGTAGCTGTGATTGAGTTGTATGTTGTTATGTGTTGTATGTTATTATGTATTGTATGTTAAATTTGTTGAGAATGATGATGTTGCTGCTAAGTTGAAAGCTGCTTATAAATATAACTATATGTTGATTCCTTTTCACTAGCTTACCCTTGTCTGTTTCCATGTGGGTTGGACTGCAATGATCATACTGTGTATGGGAGCAGAGCAGGAATAGGCTGGAGAGTAGTAGCAGGGTTACAGGTGGTAGCAGGAGCTGACTTTTGGTGTGGGCTACTCGGTGTAGCAATTTTGTTAGTTTTAGATATTGACTTGTTGAGCCTCAAGCTAGACATATGTATATATATTTACTCCTTTATATGCATACTCTACTTTTGTGTGGTATGGTTATGTAGCGTGATGGCCAGGCGGGTAGTTACAAGTTAAGGCACAAATTTTTAACATAAATCTTATGTAAAAAAAAATATAATTGA